CCTGATGTCTTACAGCCAAGTCAAGAAAGCAGCAGGATCCAAAACCCTGTCCCTTCACGGCTAAGTCTAGCTCAACCTCAAGTGCACAGAGACAACAGGACTCCAACTTCCCCTGCTTCATCCACGTCCACGGACTTTGGGCCCCACCTCCCCACTCATCCCCTGGCCCAGCTCCTCCCGCCCCCACCAACCTTGTGCATAAACACAAATGCCCTCTCGTGGCAGTTGTTGACATCTTCATAGGCAGGGTCAGTCACACAGCGGGGCTTCACTTGTGCCCGGCGTGCCTTCAGGTAGCGGTACCAGAGTTTGTAGCTGGGGGGTAAGGGGAGGAGGTGCACAGTGATTAGTCAGCTTTCTGGAGCCCCAGAATCCTTCACCCTGTCCCACGAGGCAATTGCTGGGAGAAGGAGTCTGGGGAGGAGTGACAAGTCTCAGCAATGAGGGGTTAGGCTGGGACATCAGGGAGGGTGAAATGACTCATCAGAGAATGTATAATCAGTGACAGAACACAGAGCAACCACCCGGAACCTACTGGCCAGTGCTATTACGACTGGACAAGGTGGGGTGGGGGCTGGAGGAGGCAAAGCAGCTGGAACTGCTCCCACCTGCAGGGCAGCAGCTTGAGCGCGCGCTCATACAGCTGATTGAGCCGGGGCTTCGGGGCTCCCTGTTTGAACTCGATGTAGCGGAGCCAGCATTTGACGGAGAACTGGTTCCGCATGATTTCTTCCTCATAGGGGAGGTCCTCTTCATCCTGCCAAGGCCAGGGAATGGGGAGGAGAGAGACCTGCCCTCAGAGCTTGAGCACAGCACCACTCCACTCCAAACACCAGACCCTTACCCATACCCCAGTGCCCACCCTCGGAGCCAGGTCACCAGATGCCCAGATACCAGGACTCGGTCCAGACTTAGCCCTCAGAATTCTACTGCCCACAATCTGACCCAGATCATCAGATGCCTCAGTCATAGGGTTCTAGGCCAGACATAAGACCATCACCCAGACACCAGTCTTTTGGCCTTCTAAATCAAGCTACCCACTCTCTGGCCCAGAGCACCAGACTCGTTAGGCTCCCTAGTCCAACACCAGGCCTCTGCCCTGGGCAGCACGCCTATACTTCCTCGCAACATGCCTTGTCCTGGATACCACGTCTCTGGCACCTCAGGCTCTCACTAAAGTGCCAGAGTCTAGTTCGACTGTGCCCCAGAACTTGGAAACTGAACCTTTATTTCAGAAAGACAAATATGGACCACACATCAGGCCTTTAGCCTGGACACTGAGGAATACAGTGAAGAAATAAAATGACATAGGTCCTATATAAAGCCACAAAAAAAGCCTCATTAACTTCAAAAAGACTGAAATCATGTCAAGCATCTTTTCTGATCACAATAGCATGAAACTAGAAATCAATCACAGGGAGAAAACTGGAAAGCACACAAATATGTGGAGACTAAACAACATGCTACTAAACAACCAACGGACCAAAGAGGAAATTAAAACTGACTTCGAGACAAGTGAAAATAAAAACATAACTTTCCCAAATTTATGGGAAAAGCGATTCTAAGAGAGAAGTTCATAACTATACAGGCTCACCACAAGAAACAAGAAAAATCCCAAATAAACAATCTAACTTTATACCTAAAGAAACTACAAAAAGAAGACCAAACACCCAACTTAATCAGAAGGAAGGAAATAATTACAATTAGAGCAGAAATAAAATAGATATTAAAAAAAAGAAAGAAAGATCAATTAAACTAAGAGCTGGTTCTTTGAAAAGATACACAAAATTGACAAACCCTTAACTAAACTCATTAAGAAAAAGAGAGAGCCCAAATAAGTCACTAATGAAGGAGAAGTTACACCACCACAGAAATACAAAGAAATACTAAAGAGTACTACATACGATTAACTGCCAACAAGTCCAACAATTGAGGAGAAATGAATAAATTTCTAGAAGTATGCTACCTTTCAAGACTGATCCAGGAAGAGAAGGAAAATCTAAACAGACCAATTACTAGCACTGAAATTGGAGTAGTAATCAAAAAACTTTCAACATATAAAAATCCAGGACCAGACAGCTTCGCAGTGAATATTACCAAATATTTAAAGAAAAATTAATACCTGTATTTCTCAAACTATTTCAAAAAATTGAAGAGAATGCTCTCAAACTCCTTCCACAAAGCCAACATTGGCCTGATACTCGAACCATACAAAGACATTACAACAAAATTACAGGCCAATATCACTGATGAACGCAGATGCAAAGATTCTGAACAAAATACTAACAAATCAGATTCAACAATATTTTAAAAGAATTATACACCATGACCAAGTGAGATTTATCCCAGGGATGCCAAGGATAGTACAACATCCATAATCAACCAATGTGATACATTGCATTAACAAAATTGAACATAAAAATCGTATGATCACCTCAATAGACACAAAAAGCATTTGACAAAATTCGACATCTTTTATGATAAAAATTCTCAACAAGTGAATATAGAAGGAACACACCTCGACATAGTAAAGGCTACATATGACAAACCCACAGCTAATATCACAATCAATAGTGAAAAGCTGAACACTTTTCCTTTAAGGTCAGGAACAAGACAAGGATGCCTACTATTCAGTGCAGTTGGCCGTCTTAGCCACAGCAATCAGACAAGAAAAAGAAATAAAAGGCATCTGAATTGGAAAGAAGTAAAACTCTCACTGTTTGCAGCTGACATACTATATATAGAAAATTCTAAAGACTCTACCAAAAATTAGAATAAATGAATTCAGAAAAGTTGCATGATGCAAAATCAATACACAGATATCTGTTGTGTTTTTCTATACACCAACAATGAATGATCAGAAGGTAAAATTAAGAAAACAATCCCATCTACAATTACATCAAAAAGAATAAAATACCTAGGAATAAATTTAACCAACAAGGTGAAAGACCTGAACTCTGAAAACTATAAGAGAAAGGAACTGAAGAATAAATGGAAGGCTACACCCTGCTCATGGATTGTAAGGATTAATATTGTTAAAATGTCCTTAGTACCTAAAGCAATACACAAATTCAAAGCAGTATCTGTTAAACTATCAATGGCATTCTTCTCAAAACTAAAACAATTCATCTTAAAATTTACATGGAACTACAAAAGACCCCAAATATCCAAAGAAATCTTGAGAAAGAACAAAGTGGGAAGTATTATGCTTTCAAGGTATCGAAGCTACCTAGGTGTCCACAGGATGGATGGATGAAGATGTGTTGTGTGTGTGTGTGTATATATATATACACACACACACATATGTGTTGTGTGTGTGTGTATACACACATACACACACACACACACACATATATATACACACACACACTGATGTATACATACATACATACAATGGAATATTAGTCAACAAGAAGGAATGATATCTTGACATTTGTGACAACACGGATGAACCTAGAGGGTATTATGCTAAGTAAAAGTCACATAGAGAAATACAAATACTGTATGATCTCCTTTACATGTGGAATCTAAGAAAACAAAAGAGAAAAGACCCACAGGTATAGAGAACAAGCTGATGGTTGCCAAAGGGGAGCGGAGTGGGGGAATGGGTAAAAAAAGGAATATTCCCAAAACAAGAAAAAAAAAGAAAGAAAGAAAATGGAGTCACTATAGTCAAGCTGCTAAATTACTAAAAAATCAAGTAGGTTGAGATATAAGGAAACGACTCTATTCTTAACTATCCTGAGAACAGACGTTTTGAACTTCCTACTCTTGTGTCACTGCCTGGATTTACATCAGTTTGTTGTGTATCAATACCTGGACATACACCAGACCTCCAGATGACCCTCTTATTACCCTCAGAAGGACTTAATATTCAAGCCACTTGACATGACCAGACATCCTGGCACCCAAACTCTAGACGACCTGGTGCACATCATCCAGACCAGATGACATCTGACTGATAACCATCCTGGATCAATCCTACAGGTTAAGAATGCAGGGCTTATTATTTTCAAGAATGTACCTTCTACCATAAGAACTCAACTTTTCTCTCCTCTTCGGAATACTTCTGGATTTCTGCCTAGCTTTGTTTCCAGTTCGCAAACTCTAAGACCCTTGAATAAATCTTTACTACTTATTTCTAGCGAAAGCCTCCAGACTCTTTTTGAGTTCGTGGGAAAACATCAAGAATCTAGTGAACATGCCAGGCCTCTACTCTAGATACCAAGTCGTTGACTCTTCAGGATCCCACTGGCCATTGCCTAACCAGCTCATCAGCAGATCTTTATTTGACTCCAGGGTTCTCCTAAGCCAGACACCAAGCCTTTATCCCAGAAACTAAGTGTCAGGACCAGACCTAGGCCATAATCCGGGACACCAAGCCTTTACCGCAGAAACCAAAACCCTAGCCTGGTCACCACACTCTTTACTTCAGACACGCGGCCTCTCAACTATTCGAATTTCCCTCCTCTCCCGCTCCCAGCGCGCTCTTATTTCCCACCCTTCGGCCCTGGACACCACAGCTTTAATCTGGACAGCAGTTCTTTATTTAGGCCACCTGGGTTCCGGCACCAGAATTTTACTCCTGGCCAGCCTGGTCCGGACATCACCATACGGCCTCCGGTCCATTAGGATCCTCCCGCTCTCGGGCTGACAGAGCTTTGGCCCAGATCCCCGAAGGTCACGCCTGAACCCCCCTGCGGCATCCAGGCGCCTATGCCCCCAGCGTGGGCTACTCCCAGCTCCACAGCAGACTCACAAAGACAAGGTCCGGCCGCTCTGGCCGCGAGAGTCGCGCCATCACCACCATTTTCCTGGCTTTCCAGCTGCAGGCCGGAGTCGCGTTAGAATGACGTCTCGCTCTGCATGCCCCGCCCCGCCTCCGATCCAGACTCATTTCCTATTGGCTAACCCCTTCCCAAGAGCGTGTCCCATGTTGTTGACTTTCGCTTAGACGTCGCCAGCGACCGGAAGCAGAGAGTCGGAGTCCGAAGATGACGTCACCCAGGAGCTCGTCGGCCAATCAGCTTCAGTGTTGGGTCCCGCGAATTCCCAAGCAGCTGCTGCGCTGGTGGAGGGTGGGCTTTAGGCGGAAGCGGCTTTTAGCCTCGCAGTTGCGAAATGGGGGTGAAGCTGGAGGTGTTTCGGGTCAGTGGGCACTGGAGAGGGTGGGCGGGAGCGTCTTCTTGTATCTGCGAAGGAGGCTTTGAAAAGGGGGAATTCCAAGAGAGGGCGCTCCGGGGAGAAAGATCCTGAGATTTGAGAAGGCTCTTTAGGGTTGGAAATCCAGAGTGGGGCGGCGCCGGGTTAGTAGGGGAGGCTCCGGGCAGGCTGGTTTGAGGAAGGGCCTCTGAGAGTGGTGATCTGGGGAGAGGGCTTTAAGAAGGAAGGTTCCAGACTCTAAAGGAGCTCTTGGGTTCAGGATGGGTGGCTGTGTGTCTCTGATAGGGAGACTTCTACACTAGGGGAGTAGACTCTTAAGAATGAGGGGTTTGGAGTGTCCCGGAATCTGACTTGTGGGGCGGGGGTAATGAAGTCCCACAGAGATGCCTATGATTGTAGTAGGAGCTCCTATGCTCCCAGGGTCAGAGTGTGTGTGTTGTGTGTGTGTGTGTGTGTGTGTGTCTTTGAGAGGGAGTCTCTCAGACTCAGGAGCTTTCAGAAATAAGGTCTCTTGGATTATGGGGGCTAGACTCCCATAATCCTGGGGTTCTTGGGGGGCCCTGAGGAGGCGCCCCTGGGCTCTGCCGGGGGGTGAGGGGGCGTTGTCTTCCAGGCCCTGAGCAACCTCTGCAAATTGGAGGAGAGGGGTTATCCCTGGCTCTGCTCATCACCTCCCTCTTTCAGATGACACTCTACCTCACCTTCCCTGTGGCTATGTTCTGGATTGCCAATCAGGCCAAGTGGTTTGAGGACTATGTCGTACAGCGCAAGGTGGGCACAGAGAGAGTGTTCAAGGGCTCATTGCAGGAGGAGGGGGAGGGGGAGGGCATCAGGCACCAACCTGCTGGGGACCCATATCTGCCTCTCATAAACCGACCTGCCCTGGGTGTGCAGCTCTGGAGGCACCTGGCTCATCTGTGACTTTGTCCCTACAGAGGGAGTTGTGGCCACCTGAGAAGGAGGACCAGGTGAGTGACACATTGTTCCTCCCACCAGAGGGACAGTGGGACCTGGGTCCCTGTGGTTATGATGGGTTCAATGAAAATGTTACCCAGGGAACTGAGAGCAGAGGAGCATGTGGTTCCCTTACAGTCCTCTCCCTGAAGGATGAAGCTGACCCACACACTTGGACCCTGCTTGTAATTGGCACAGGGCTTCAAGTGTAGACACTGAATTACTCTGAAGTCGCGGCCTGGGACAGTATGGGGCAGAGTGGTGGGAGAGGGGTCCAGGCCCTGAGGTATGTGCCCCCCTCCTTCCTTCCCATCATACCCCTTCCCCACCCTTAGCGCCGAGAGCTAGAAGAATTCAAAGAGAGGCTACGGAAGCAGCGGGAGGAGAAACTCCTTCGCGCTGCCCAGCAGAGCTCCTGAGGCCTCCAAGTGCCTAAGTCCCAGCCCCTCCACCCATGAAATAACACACACTCATTTGTTGCTCATGGAAGTGTTTTATTGTGTGCTTTTGCGGGGAGGCCTGAGTGGGACCCAGGACAGCTCAAGCCCTCAGGGGGCTTGTGTCTGGGGCTGGGGACTGCTGTTCCGACGGAAGCTGAGAGCAGTCGGGTCCTGAGGGGCGAGAAGAGGTTGGGGGCTGAGGGTCCCAGCTCGTTTCTGCACTCCATCCTGCAGATGAAGAGGGGTCAGCCAGCGGGAGGGTCCAAGGCAGCGCCGGCCAGAAGTGACACAAACAATGGAGGGAGAGTGCCCATGGGAACCAGTGTCCTACCTCCCATCATCTGCCCCGACCATCCCCGAGCTTCTACATACCTTAGTTACTCATTGCTTAGGGTGTTATTTGGGTGTGAGGTGGGGGTCTTGGGGATCCCACTGGAGTCTTGGTTAGAACCCAATCTGTGCATGATTACATGTGACATGGACACATCTGAGTGTATGGATGTGTCCTGTGCATGAGTTCGTGTGCCTTCCTCCCTGGAGGTGCTTTGCCAGAAAGGGGCTTCTGTTCTCTCTGGCCGCCCTAAAATCATCAGTTGTGGGGGTAGGAACCATGAGTTCCAGCCATGGCTCTGACATTAATATGCCCCCTGCATGACCTTGGGAACCTCTTGGTCCTGTCTGGGCCTTCATCTTCCTGTCTGAAGTCGGGTATTGTATTGACCAGGACCTTGTGACTGGCAGGGGCACAAGGTGGCACATGATAAACAGGGGTGGAGATTCCCATCAGGCTTGGGGTGGGAGGCCGGGGTTGGGGGCTCCGCCTGGTTGCTCTCTCCTCAGCCCCAGCAGAACATAACCTACCTTGGGACCCACAGGCTGGAAGCCAGGCAGGGCACTGACTGTCACTCGCTGGTCATCCATGCGGCGGCCCTGGGTGCTGGCCACCATGTCCATGAGACTGTCCATCTCTGGTGCAGGGCCACTCTCTGCGTGGAGCAGAGGCAGGTGGGGATGAACGCATACACAGATTCCAGGGAACACAGCCCACCCCTTTCCCCCACTCACATTCTCCAGGAAGCATGCTCACCTCCCCCTTGCCACCCCTTGTTCCCAGACCCACAGGCATCCCAGATCCCCAGTTGCCTGTTCACTCTCTCAGACTCTTGCACACAGGCTCCCCAGGCGGTCACTCGCCCTGTGCCCCTACACCCTAACCATACACCACGATCCTCAGAAATCACACCACCCCCATACACCCCACTGCCCACTCTCACGGCTCTCGGAAGTTGTTCCTGGCTCTGCCTGCAGCGAGCAGCGCTGCTCCTCCATTCGGTCGCCCTGCACATGGCTCAGCAGTTGGAAGAAGCCCTCTTGGTCTGGGGAGCCCGCCTGGTGAACAGACAGACCAGATTCAGCCGGCCCCTCACCAGCTGCCATGCTGCCCTCCCCGTCTCCTCGGCTCTCACCATAGTCCCTGCTGATGTGCATGCAGCTCTGCAATGCCGCTTTGAATGAGACACGAGTCCCCTTCCCAGTCCCAGCTCCGGGGCCCCAGCCAGCGGTGCCACTTCACGTGGTGCCGCCTCAAGGGAGAGGCTGCTGGTGTCCTGCCGTCCTAGATTGAGGCCCTACTGCAGGGTGGCCTGGGGGCTGGGACACCAGCCAGGGAAATATCTCAGGGGCCACCCCCGAGTCCCAGCATTCCTCTATCTCACAGGGACCATCACCGAGAGCTCTGACCCCTGCCCTTGGTCTGGATCAGGTACTGAGACCCTCATTCCCACCAGCACCTCCTTAGGCAGCAAACTGGGCCAGGGGGCCCAGGAGACTCAATCGCTAATTAGGTGCCCTACAAACTAGTCTTGTCATTTGCAGCTCTTGAGGAGTTGGGGTTTAGGGGTAGGGCCTGCTTACCTTGATGTAGGGGGCCAAACCCCCATCTACCTTCTCTTCCTGGTCCATCCTTGTCCCTGCTCCTTGGGCCTGTCCACTTCTCTGCTGGCCTCTGGCCCGGCCCCGTGCCAGAGAAGGCTTTTTAAAAGACTGGGATGTGGGGGGAGTGGGTACCCAGCCCCAAATCCCCAGCTCACACCCCATCTGCTCCCACCCAGGCTTAAGCCCCATAAAGATGATCCAGATAATTGTTTTTGCCGTGTGATGCTGGGACTGCTGTCGGGGTAGGAGGCTGGGCGACCTGGGTTGGGACCATGCTGACCCAGCAGGACTCACTGGGCCCCAAGAACTCTCAGGTGGGTACAGTAGCAGGCCAGAGCAGTGTTCCCCCAGTGGGGAGTTGGGGCTGGCTGGGCCCCATTGGGAGAGGACAGGCCAACAGGGTAGCTTGCGTGGGGTCTGCAGCCCACCAGCGGGAAGCAGTGCAGAATGGTCTCACCCTACAGGAAGGCAGTTGCCATCTGCAGGGGAAGGGAAGCTGGACCTGAAGACACTGTAGGCACCACCAGCCAGCCTAGCTGCATCTCTGTCTCCTGGCCACCTCTCCCCCTACTCACTGTCCCTGGATCTGGTTGTCCCCCATAGGCCCCAAGACAAGGTCTGGGATCTGTCTACCTGCCACCAATGCCAAGTTGAGCTGTCTCCTCTGATCTTGCCCCCACCCTCTCCCCTGAGCAGCTGTGGCTTTCCCTCAGCACCCTGAGAGAAGATGCTGCTGGGAGGACCCCACCCACACCCCATCCCCTCCCTAAGATGTCTTTCTGGAAACCAGTTAAAGTTTCTTCTCAGAATAAATGGGCCACTGTCACCACCCCTGCCTAAGCACAGAGCTTAGTCCTCCCTAGGCAGCCCTCCCCAATTCATGGTCCACGTTCACACCCTCTCCATGGCCCCAAGTCCTCAATGCCAATGTGATGTCCTGCTCTGCCACAGAAGTATTAGTTTTCTGGGGTTGCCTTAACAATATGTCATAAACTAGGTGGTTTAGAGCAACAGACGTGTATTGTCACAGTTCTGGAGGCCAGAAGTCTGACGTCGAGGTGTTGGCAGGCCCGCACTCCTGAAACCTATAGGGCAGGGTCCTTTCCTCACCTCCTGACTCCTAATGGCTGCTGGCAGACCTCAGTGTTTTTTGGCTTATAGCAACGGTACTTCAATTTCTGCCTTTGTCATTCCATGACGTTCTCTGTGTGTCTTTGTCTTCACGTGGCTGTCATAAGACATGACACCAGTTATGTTGCATTAGCGACACACCCTACTGCAGTATGACCTCATCTTAATTCATCCGCAACTATTTCTGAATAAGGTCACATTCTGAGTTCTTGGGGGTTAGGACTTCAACACATTTTTTGGAGGCAGGACACCATTCAGCCTATAACAACAGAAAAGCCTGGTCACCCTCACCGAGTATAGTGGGAGGTGGTTGGCCTTATAGACTCTCGCCTCCAGTGGACAGGCTGAGAAGCTAGAGGTGGTCCCAGCTTCCTCACCATATCCCAGTTCCCTCCTTGGCCCCTGCAATTCATCCTTTCCCCCCAGGAGCTGCAGGGGTCCCCTCCTTTTCCCTGCTCAGAACTCTCCCTTGGTCCTCATCGTCCTCAGGAGAAAACCCAAAGACCTTGGAGGCAACGGCAATGTTCTAGAATGGACTGGTGATGGATGCACAACTGAATATGCTAAGTGCATTTAATTATACACCCTCTGTAGGCTGATTGTAATGGTATGTGAATTATATCTTAATAAAGCTGTGAAAGAAAAGGAAAGAAGGAAGGGAGGGAGGAAGGAAAGAAGAAGGAAAGAGAAAATGATGGAAAGAAAGGAAGGGATGAGGAAGGAAGGAGGGAGAAAAATTCCTATCTGGGACTGGTTTTGCCTGACACTGTCCTAGTTTTATCACTGAGAGCCCTGCATCCCCAGAACCTCTCAATTCCAGGAAGATCAGGCTGGGTTAGTCCTACCTTGTCCCACAGAAGTCTGGCCTCTGGAACTTGTCCAACCTCACCTCCTGCCCGGGCCCACTTCCCACCATCACCCCACTACCACCACTAACTCCAGTCTCATCTCCTGCCCTTCTCTTCCTGGACCCCTGCATAGCTGCTCCTTGATGTCATTCAGGGTTAAGTCTGAAGGCCACCCCCTCAGAGAGGTCCTCTGGTGCCACCCCCAGTAAAGCACCCCTGACAGGGCACTTGCTAGCATATCATCGTTAATTTCCTTTAAGGCAGAATTGATTATTTTCTATCCCCTCCCTCCTGAAGTCAACCGTAAGTGCCACGTGGCAGACCTTCTGTTGTCTGTCCCATGTAAGTGGCAGAAAGACTGGCATCTGGCTGACTAAATAAACACTAAATAAAAGACCCAGTTCATAACTCTGCCTTCAAACCCGTGCCTCACATGTTAAATACGGGATCTCATTTTGTGAATACTGCTGGCCTGTGCCCAGGCTATGACAGAATGTCGGCCCTTTGCTGGCGCACAGTAGGAACAGGCCATGGAATTTCGGGTCGAATGGGAATTGAGGTGTGTGTGACTGTGCCAGCAGGTGAGCATGCTACTCAAACCCACACGTGTATCAGCCTACAAATGTGACTGTTGCCTGTGAGGGTGTGTGCACACGGTGAGAACAAGGCTGTGAGGAGCATTCCTTCAGACCCCAATAGGCCTACTCATCATGCATGCGGCCTTGGACAGGGGGCCCCACTGAGCCCACATTTCATTTTCTGTACCGCACTCCCTGTCAGGGTCTGTAGAAGGATCGAGTGAGAATCTGGCACAGGTCCCTGGCACACAGCGGGTGCCGGCTTAGCTCCAACTCCCCCTCCAGACCACCTCCTGAGTTTATACAATGTTGCCAGAGCTTGCTGCTGCTGCTAAACTCTGGGGTACAAAAGGCAAAAGGGTCATAGGTTTGTGGCCCCGCGGCCACGTGTGAACACACTCCTCAGTCTCGGAGGAACTTCTGACAGGGTGCCGGCTTTGCCTGGGGAAGATTACGGGTTATTATTACTCTGCAATCTCACTTTCTCGCTGCGCGCAGCAGGGGAAGTGTGTCTGAGCTCGCGTCTGTGAGCTCGTCGTCGGATGGGCTCCTCCAGCGACTTGGTGCCCGTCTGCTTAGATATATCCCCTCGTCCACTCTACGAGGGACCGACCTTTCCCCGGAACCCACCGCGGAGCCGGGCCGGGTGCCCGGGGGGCGGGGCCAGGCCCCGCGGGGCGGGGTCCACGTGGATGACGCGCGGGACCACGCCCCCACCTGGGGACAGACCCGGAAGCGGCGGCGGAGCCCCTTGAGAAAGATGGCGCCCCTGGGGCTGAAGGCGGTGGTGGGGGAAAGTGAGTGTCACCCCGGGCTGAACTCATGCGTCCCCTGGGGGGTCGGGGATCAGGGGCGAATGGACTCTGGAACCCCGGCGGCGGGGAGTTGGGGGCCGGGCTGGGCGTCAAGACCTGACCCTCGAGGGGGCGGGTGAAGACTCGGTTCTAGCTGGACGTCCCAGCTCTCCCGCGTCGGAGCCGAACGAAGCTGGCAGACTGGACGCTAGGGGTGGCCCAGACAGGTGCCGGGGCCCGAATTCCTGGGCCCCCTAGCGTGCATAGCTGGATGTCCGGACTGCCAGGTCTCTGAGCTGGATTCTTGGGGCTTCATGCTGCGGACTGGGGCTGGGCTGGGCACGCTGATAAGCGACCCTAGGTGCTGTGAAAGCTCACTGGGCGTGTTCAGGTCCAGGGGTGGGGGACGCCTTGCTCTGCTCGGCCCCCAAGAGCCTCATGCAGCCTGAGGACCCAAGCGTCCAGGCCACTCAGGCCGGGTTCTTGGAGGAAGGGTGGAGATCGTCCCCGCCCGCATCTCGAGTAGTTCCGGCCTTAGCTGCTCCTTCCGCCCTGGAGTTCCTGATAACAGTGGGCATGACACTCTGGCAGGGCGGGGCCACCCGGTTCCTTCTCCCACTACTTCCGCGGGGTAGGGCAGAATGTGGCTCAAACCTCCAGCATTTCAACTAAAAAAGGAGCCTCGTATGTGGGGGTTGATGGGGGGATGGGAAAGCCATTGATTACATTTTACAGATGAGGAAACTGAGGTTGGAGGTTGATGGAATGACCACAGCCAGGCACATTTCAGAGCAGGGGACCAGGGGTCCAGTATTCTAGACCAGTGAAAACTGATAGTGGTGGAATGCGGGGGATCGTCTGGCTGAAGCCACGCCAGGAGGACTCGAGGTAGCCCATGGGGAAGCCGAGAGTCTCGTTCTGGAGGCAGGAAGACCTGTATGGAGCCCTGGCTTTCCAGTTATTGTTCATTTAAAGCGTATTTATCCAGCGGCTATTTATACCCCAATCATTGGGCCACTTAGGCCTCAAGGGTGCTTAGTCTAGTGACCTGCTCTCTCTGAACTTCAGTTTCCCTGTCTGTAAATTGGGAGTGACACCAGGAGCTGCATCACAGAGTGGGGGGTGGGGGTGGGGATGGGGATAAATAAACAGGAGTTAAGATGGAAGTTCAGACAGTTGTCCAGGTTTGGGGGTGATGGGACCAGATGACCCAGCATCCATAGCCCACCCCTCTCTCCCTACAGAAATTCTGAGCGGAGTCATTCGGAGTGTCAAAAAGGATGGGGAGTGGAAGGTAGGGGTGAGGCAGAATGCTTTGTCCAAACTTACATGGGGGCCCTGAATGTGAGACCCCTTCAAACTCACTGTGGAGGCTTCATTCAGGTCCACAGGGTGGGATCTGTGGGCAGCTCTGGGATGGGGTGGGGTCCTGGCCCCTCCTTCCCGTCCAGCTAGCTGTTGAAGCCCTCAGTTCTGCCCACCGCCCCAGCCTCACCTCAGGGCAGCTACGGCCTCTCCTACCGACTTGTCTGTCCATCGGTCCATCTGTCCGTCCATCTGGACAGGTGCTCATCATGGACCACCCAAGCATGCGCATCTTGTCGTCCTGCTGCAAGATGTCAGACATCCTGGCTGAGGGCATCACCAGTGAGTGGACACCCCCACCCAGTGCTCCCCAGATGGGACCTGCATGTGGGACCTCCCAAACGTGGGACCCCTGGGGCACAGCCCCTGAGTGTTGGATCTCCTCAAATTGTCCAGGAACCCCAAGGATGCAGCTCCCTGCGTAGACAGCCAGGAGCATGTCACCCTCCCAAGTACATTCCCCAGTCGGGCAACCTGAGTGTGGGAGCCCAAGATGGGCAGACCTCCCACAAAGGACTCTTGGTTGCAGCCCCCTAGGGGTCAGCCTCTCCAGCTGTGCAGCCCCTGTGTATGGAACCTTGTATAGGACCCTCAGGACAAACTCAGTGTGGGGACCCCAGAATGCGTAGTTTTCTATGGGAGGCCCCCAGGGGTATGACTGTGTGATCCTGGATATGTAGAAACCTATCCATGTCTGGAACTCGCCATGTGCCCCGGCCCCAGCGCCACCTTCATGTGTCTCTTCCTCTGTTCTTGCTAGTTGTTGAGGACATCAACAAGCGGCGAGAACCCATCCCTAGCCTGGAGGCCATTTATTTGTTGAGCCCCACAGAGAAGGTGCCTACGTGAGCGTGAGTGAGTGTGTGAATGTGCGTGTGTACATGCCTCTGCATGTCAGCATGTGTTTGGGGGCACAGGCAGTGGCTGGGAGGCCTGGGCAGAGGACGGACAGGTTGGGGGTGCAAGGCCAGGCCTGGAGAGTGATCTGCATTCCCTAGTCGGTGCAGGCCCTGATCGCAGACTTCCGGGGGACCCCGACCTTCACCTACAAAGCAGCACATGTCTTCTTCACAGACAGTGAGTGAGGAGAGCTGGAGGAGTGGGGGTTGGGGCCAGGGGACATAGGGGCAGCTCTGCCCTGATGCTTCCTCTTGCCTGCCCTAGCCTGCCCCGAGCCCCTGTTCAGTGAGCTGGGTCGCTCCCGTCTGGCAAAGGTGGTCAAGACGCTGAAAGAGATCCACCTTGCCTTCCTCCCCTACGAGGCCCAGGTACAGCCCATCCTAGACTCGAGCAGGGAGTAGGGGTCTGTGACCAAACAACTCAGGTTCCCTCAGAAGCCAGCTCTGAGACAAGTAAAGGGGACAGCAAGTCAGAAAGAAAAGGAGGCAACGTGGAGTGGAATGTGCTCACCACTGCAGGCACCTGCAGGGGGCAGTGTAGAGCAGGCTTCTGAGTTCTGCCCAAGGGGGAGGGGGTCTTTCTCCATCTCCTCCAGACATGGGTTGGGGGTACCTGCCTCCTGGATGGCAAAGTGGGCCCCAGAAGATGCCCCAGGAAGTGGCAGGTGCTGGCGGCTGGAGTTGAGCAGGTGCTCCACTACAGCGGTGGCTCCGGCACTTGTATCCTTCCAGGTGTTCTCCCTGGATGCCCCCCACAGCACCTACAACCTCTACTGCCCCTTCCGGGCAGGCGAACGGGCACGGCAGCTCGAGGCGCTGGCCCAGCAGATCGCCACACTTTGTGCCACGCTGCAGGAGTACCCAGCCATCCGCTACCGCAAGTGGGGACCCCACCCTGATGCTGACCCCGACCCTGACCCCATCTTGCATTTCACCTTCAACCTCTCTTCTGACCCCAGTTCTCACTCTGCTGCATGACTCCCATCCCTAACCCCATCCTCGACCCCCAGTCTGTGCTTAACCTTCCCCAACCACACACCCTGTGTCTGCCCACTGCACCCCAGGGGCCCAGAGGACACTGCCCAGCTGGCCCATGCGGTCCTGGCCAAGCTGAACGCCTTCAAGGCAGACACTCCCAGTCTGGGCGAGGTAAGTGGTGTGCTAGGGAGGTGGGGCCAGGCCCCAGGCAGCATGGGGGTCAGCATCCTCATCCTTGCCCACCCCCCACTATCCCCAGGGCCCTGAGAAAACCCGTTCACAGCTGCTGATCATGGACCGGGCAGCCGACCCTGTGTCCCCGCTGCTGCATGAGCTCACATTTCAGGCCATGGCCTATGACCGAGCAGGACACGTATAGGTGGGTGAACCCCGGAACACCCCCTCCCCCCATTACCATGGACCAGGGGCCCTGGGCCTCAGTCAGTGTCCCTGACCTTCCTGTCTCCCCCTCCTGCAGGTACAAGACCACCGGGCTGAGCGAGGCCCATGAGAAGGCTGTGCTGTTGGATGAGGACGATGACCTGTGGGTGGAGCTGCGGCACATGCACATCGCGGATGTGTCTAAGTATGTGCGTGGGGGGTGCTGGGGGTATAGGCCCTTCTGCGCCACAGCCCCCTCGGATCCCCACAACCACCATCACCACCCCCACTACCACCATCACCACCCCCACTGTGGGCCTTTCTCCCTCTGTGAGCACGCCCCTCTACAAGCCATACCCCTCAGCCGATCCCCACTGTGTCCCCGTGAGGGCTTGCACGTGGCCTGGTACAGGGACCTGTGTCCCACGGCTCCTGTCATCGGCTCTGCAAGCCCCACACTGCCCTCAAACTACAGCTTTGGCACCAGCCCCCAACCTCACCCCTGCCACCCTCACTGCTAGGAGGGTCACGGAGCTTCTGAAGACATTCTGTGAGAGCAAGAGGCTGACCACCGATCAGGTAGGGGCTGGCCTGTGTCAGGATGGGCAGCTGTGGAGGAAAGCCCCACTCCCTACAGAGTGGGGACAGGGCCTCAGTGTGGATCCCAAACCTGGAGTTGGGACCTCATACCAGCCCTGTCCCCAGGCCAACATCAAAGACCTGTCCCACATCCTGAAAAAGATGCCGCAGTACCAGAAGGAGCTGAACAAGGTGAGCGCGGGAAGGGAACCTGTGCCCCCCACTCTTGAGCCCCACTGCCTCCGTGCCTCCTTCTGGACTCAGTCTCTGTTACCCTCACCACCCCCTCGCCCTGCAGTATGCTACACACCTGCATTTAGCTGATGACTGCATGAAGCACTTCAAGGGCTCGGTGGAGAAGCTGTGCGGTGTGGAGCAGGTGGGGGCGGACCCAGGACAGAGGGTGGCCTGCTGAGGGGCAGGGCCTTTGGTGGGGGGAGTGTGTGAGGGGGGAACCTTGGCGAGGTGGGGCCTGTGGAGAGGTGGTTGTGTCGGGGGGACGGGGCCTGTGGACACATGGGACCTGCGTGAGGGGCAGGGCTTGTTGTGTGACGGGTGGAACCTTCAGAGACCTGGTACGAGGATGAAGCCAGGTCACAGAGGTCTTGATGAAGACCCTGGGGATGTCCCTGCCCTGTGCCCCCAGCCCCCTGCCAATGGCTAACAGGACCCCTGACCTTCAATTCTCATAGGACTTGGCCATGGGCTCTGACGCAGAGGGCGAGAAGATCAAGGACGCCATGAAGCTGATTGTGCCAGTGCTGCTGGACGCAGCGGTGCCCGCCTACGACAAGATCCGGGTCCTGTTGCTCTACATCCTCCTACGGAACGGTGTGTGGGGGACAGTGAGGGCCTCGGAATCCCCTGATTCACCAGGGTCGTCAGTGATCCTGGGACTCTCTCAACCCCACAGTTCCCTGTCCTTGAGAAGCCCCCTCTCAGGCACACCACACCTCACAGGTACCCCTCCATTGACCCGGGGTACCCCTCATTGACTCAATTGGCATGAGGGCTCCAATGACACAGAAAACTCAATCTATGATTCCTCCAAACTTGGCTCCTCAACTAATTCCAGGGACCCCCAGTCTACCCACTTTGGGCTTCCTCCCCACCCAGAATTCTAACATCAAGACTCCTCCTTGCACCAGCTCCAGTGGCTTCCTCGGTCCTGAGGGCCTCCCCACTGCAGGTCCTGGGACCTCCTCATGTGCCACCCCTTAGCCGAGGAACCCACATGGCTACCTTCTATCCTCCCACCCTCCCAGAGAATCCCACCCATGTAAGCCACCTGTCCCCCACTTGCCAGGTGTGAGCGAGGAGAACCTGGCCAAGCTGATCCAGCACGCCAATGTGCAGGCACACAGCAGCCTCATCCGGAACTTTGAACAGCTGGGGGCCACCGTCACCAACCCCGGGGTATGCTGGGGTCAGAGCCTGTGTGGAAGGCAAATGTAGGTGTGTGGGGCAGCGGTGCCTTCAGGGAATTGAATCAGAATCTGGGCCAGGGGGGCGGAGGGCACATCACAGAGCTGGGGTCTACAGATTATGGTGTGGTTTTGAGGATACAGAGAATGGTGTGCAGTGGTCGGTCTGGGGGCTAGGGAGCACCAGAGCTGTCCCCAACCATGGTTCACACGATAAGCCGAGGGGTGAGGTGTGCTCAGAGCCCAGGTCCTGTTAGTGGTGCAGTGTGTGGCATGTGAGTCCCAGGGTGGATGGCAGTATTACCAGCATCGGGGTGAGGGCACACAGGCGACCCTGAGCCCTTGGACATCTCAGAGGAACCCCTGTGCACCCACACACACAGCAAGTTCCTGTGCTCAGCTCTCCACATGGCCTTTCCTGTCTCTCTGGCCCTGCACATCCCACCTCCCCTGACCAGCCTGCACTGCTGGGCAGTGCCTCTCTCATGTCCCCCATCTCTCTCCCAGTCCCCTGTCTATCTCCCTGTCCCCCACCTCTTGGTTCCCTTATTTCCCTATGTCCTCCCATCTACGTCCCCATCATTCTCTCTGTCCTTGTCTTTCTCTTTGTCCCATCTCTTTGTCTCACTGTCTCTATATTTTTCTCTCATTCTCTCCCTCCCTCCTTCCCTCCCCCTTCCTTCCTTCCTTCCTTCCTTCCTCTTTTTTTAGTTTTGTTCTATTTCTCCATTTTTGTCTGCAACACCCCCCAAGACAGATGGGCCCCAGCCCCATCTGTGACCCGCCCCCTTTCCCCAATTGCCCCACCTGCCTGCCATGCCCCTCCCATAGGGCCCTGGGACCTCCAGCCGGCTGGAGCGGAGAGAGCGTTTGGAGCCCACCTATCAGCTGTCCCGCTGGACCCCAGTTATCAAGGATGTGATGGAGGTGCCGTGGGGTGGGGGATGGGCACGGGGAGGGTGGGAGTTGGGGCCTGTCCTCTCCTGCCCCCACCAAGTCTTGCCCTGATCCAGGTGGCGGCTCAGCGCCCTTTGTGCTCACGGTGCTAAGCCTCGGGGCTTAATGGAAAATCCCTCATTATGGGCATCCCCCAGCATCCGGTCTGCTTTGCCAGGGGGGAACCCCAGTGCACACCTAAGGAATTGGGCAGCAGAGGGGCCCCTTGTGGGGGAGCCTCATTTCTTCTCCACCCACTAGTCCCTTCCACTGTCCCCTTCTATTCTTTTCCTTTGTCCCTGGGAAAGCCCCCTCTTTCTCCTTCGCCCTCCCCACACCAGCCCCTGCCTATCCTGGTAACATAAAGCAGAAGAAGCAAAAAAGACCAGGCCAGAGGTCCAGCTTCCTGGCTTCCTGCCTGCTTCCCAGTGGTCTTGGCAGTTCAACCCACTTTGGGACCCAGTGACCTTGGTTCCACCATCCCTGTGGACCCTGGATGCCTGGGCTCCAGGGTCCCTGAAGGGCTGGGGCCTCAGACTTCTGAGTCTCCAAGGGGCTGTAGATTCCTGGTTTTCCAAAGGGCTGGGGGCCTGGACTCCTGAGTCCCTAGGGATCTGGGAGTCCAAACTCCTGGGTCCCCAGGGGGCCAGAGATGCAAATGGTAGCTCCTGTCTGCCAGGATCTTGGCTCTCGAAACACTCAGGGAATTCCAGAGCCTGTGTCCCATCACCTGGAGCTTCTCTCCTAAGCCTCTCCATCTGGCCCTCAGGATGCTGTGGAGGACCGGCTGGACCGCAAACTGTGGCCCTTTGTGTCTGACCCTGCCCCCACACCCAGCTCCCAGGCTGCTGTCAGGTGCGGGTCCCTGGGATACCACCTACTGGCGCCCAGGCCCATATTAGGTGAGGGGAGTGGTGGGGGAGTCTACTGCTGGTACTGACCTCTGCCCACCCCTCCCCACACAGTGCCCGCTTTGGCCACTGGCACAAGAACAAGGCTGGTGTGGAGGCGCGGGCAGGGCCCCGGCTTATCGTCTATGTCGTGGGTGGCATGGCCATGTCAGAGATGAGGGCTGCCTATGAAGTGACCAGGGCCACTGATGGCAAGTGGGAGGTGCTCATTGGTGAGTAGCCAGGACTAAGATCCCTGGGCTGGGCAGAGTTGGGAGCTTGACTCCCCCAGGCCTGGCTCCCCAAAGCCTGGAGCCTCTGCAGGGCTAGTGTCTGAGAACCCTGAGTGAGGGGAGGTGGCCGGACACCTGGGTTTCACTGGGCTGGAGCTTGGGTTCCCAGGAAAGGGGTCTCCTGGGCCTTGGATCCTTATGTTTCTAAGGAGTGCTCAGAGTCAAGGCTTGGTCTCCCGAGGACCTTGACTTGGGGGTGTCAGGGGCCGAGGCAGCAACCCCACCTCCCCACCCATCCCCTGCTGCCCAGGCTCCTCACACGTCCTCACCCCAACCCGCTTCCTGGACGACCTGAAGATGCTGGACCAGAAGTTAGAGGACATTTCCCTGCCTTGACCCGCCCACCCCTACCCTGACCTGCCCTCTTCCCTTTCCAGAAAAATAAACTCTTTTCTGTCTGGGGCCAGCTGTCCACCTCACTTTCTTTCCCAAGGAGCTGTCGTCGTTGGCCAGCCTCCCAAGGTCCCATTGTCTGGCCTGTGCCTCAGGCCCCACCATACCCTGTCGTCTTGCCAGAGGGCGTCTGAAGCTGGCTGGAGGTTAAGAACTTGGGCTCTGGTTTGAATATTGGCTCCAAGAATGACTAGTTGTCAGGTCTCGGCCAACTTGCTGGGTTCCCCATTCAAAACATGGGACCAGTAATAGCCACTGCTTTGCAAAGGAAATAAAAGACAGTGGCAGAAAGCTGATGGCTGACAGCTGCTATTCCTCCATTGTCACTAGACTGACCTTGGATGCTCCGATGGGATTGTTAGTATTATAAAAGACCAGAATGGGCCCTGTATGCTCCCTCCCAGTCCCCCAGGAGCTGTTCTGATGGGGCCTGCAGCCCCACTGGCTGGGGCTTCCACAGCTCCCTGCATCACACTGCATTTGTGTAAGCACCCTCGTCCTGCAGATAATGCCTTGTGCCCACCCCGTTGAGTTAGAACTCTGCTCTTCTTCCTCCACACCCCAGGGTATTCCCAGGGGCTCCTAACTGCAGGACTTATAAGAGGCTTAACTGGATGTATTAGTTTGTGAGGGCTACCATAACAAAGTACCACATTCCTGGTGACTTAACAGAAATTTTCTCACAGTTTTGGAGGCTGGAAGTACAAGATCAAGGTGTTGGCAGGGTTGGTTTCTCCTGAGATGGCTCTCGTTGGCCTGTAGATGGCCATCTGCTCCTCGTGGCCTCACATGGTCTCCCCTCTGCGTGTCTGTGTCCTAATCCCCTCTTATAAGGACACCAGTCGTATTGGATTAGGGCTCACCCCCAGGACCTCATTTTAACTGAATTATTTCTTTAAAGGCCCTTTAAATATAGTCACATTTCGAGGTAGTGGGGGCTAGAATTTCAACATACGAATTTGGAGGAGGGGGGAAAGGCGGAGGGGTACACAGTTCAGCCCAGAACACAGCTAAAATGAGATGCGAATCCCTTAGTGCTAATAAGACAGATGAAGACCCTCGTCTTTGGGGCACAGAGGTACAGCCAGGCAAACAATGATGGTAGAGGGGGCTGTGGGAGCCCAGAGGACACCCTAATCCATCTAGTCTGGGGACAGTCAGGGAAGGCTTTCTGGTGAAGGCAAAGTCTGAGAAGGAAAATGAGTCAGGGAAGAGAGAGGCGGCACAGTGGAGGCAAACGCAGGAGAGTGGAGTGAAGCCAGAGGGAATCGGTACTGAAGAGCAAGGAGAACACGAGGCCACATAGAGCATCAGGCCAT